AAGATAAGATAAGATAAGATAAGATAAGATAAGAAAAGAAAAGATAAGATAAGATAAAACTTTATTGATCCCACAGTGAGGAAATTTGCACATTACTGCAGCTCAATACAGGAGAGGGTGAGATAGAATAAAGAAAGATAAATAAAAGAAAAAACACACACGCTATACACACGTGATATATAATAATGTACATATACCAATGCACATATACACACACATATATATAAACACATATGCATATACATTTATATACATAATAACATCATGATGAGTTACACAGTCTAACTGCAGTTGGAATGAATGATACAGAAGCGATCCACTGATCCTTCAACACAGAGCATCTTCAGAAGACAAGATGATGAAATCAATTTTAAAAATCTGTATTGATCCGTACGTAGTGTGCATTCAACCTAAAGCACTGTATTGAACAGTTCGATCCACATGTTGCACCGCCTGGTCGCCTGCTTTAAATAATGCCCCACTTGGAACACCTCAGCTGTCCATGAGGAGGAGCAGCGGCTCTGCTCTGAGTCTCTCTGGAATAACTGAGCTTCTGCTATTCTGCAGAGAAAACTCATTTTGTCCACCTGTATTCTTTCAGTCCCATTTCAAGTGAATTAAGAACCTTTTCATTTTTAATCATGCACTTTTTAGAATCCTTTCGCTGCTAGAAATCACCACCCAGAAGCTGTGATGCTCTGCTATCGCTGCCCAGGCCCCAAACCAACCAGGCGTGAACTAATTAGCTTTAGGCAGAAGTCACTAAGCTCCGGAGGTCAAAGAAAAAGAGGAGCCTAAAGGCTTATACGCATCCTTTAAGAGTGGTCAGAGAGATCATGGTCCTCACAGCTCCCAGGTGCTGATGGTTCAGTCCAGATCCACATAACAATCCCAGAATATTCTAATAAATGTGATGGTTGGTTTATTGTAACCAAAAATAAAATAAAACAAAAATGATCAAAAACCTACAACACAACCTGAAACATATTGTCTTATTTTGGAAAAAGCAAAAATGTATTGAGTCTAATTTCAGCACCACGGACAGTTCCACTCACAGGGGTCATTAAACAGATGCAGATTACCTGTTTAAAAAGATCAACAGGAGCCAAAACACATGTTTTCCAGCAGGTTCCATGTTTCCATATCAAACGTGTGATTCACACATCGGAGCACATCTGATTATAAAAGAGTCGGCTCAAAATCCTGCCTGTAGCTCCGACGAGTCTGAATCTTTGATAACAGCGTTAACATGAATACATTTCCCCTACACATTTAAAGCTTTTATTTTGAAACTAACACTTGGCAGACTATACTATAAATGGGAGGTAATAAATTGTAGATGCAAACATGTATTTTATAAAACAGAAGCATTGAAGTGTTTCTTTGTTTTTTTAGACTTTATTTTAACAACGCGACAGTTCACTGAATTAACCATTCGTTTAGTTATTAGACAGAAATTAGCRCTTTACTTTTCTTGATTTATTTAATTTTTTACAAAACAACAGGCTAATAAAAATATTCATTAAAAATAATAAATGCTGTCGTTAAGATAGTGATGAAAATGAGACTTGTGTTAAACTCAGSTATAAGTTCACCAGGAATACAACAAAAAGAACACTTTATGCTTTTTATTGTCCACTACAGATGGCAAAAGGGAAATAATGTTTTTGAGCATGTCTAAGTGTGTTTGTGTGTTTGTAGATT